CGGCAGCACGCTGGGCACCGTAAATAAGCAGGAGAAGCGATGTGCTGGGCGGGGATTCAGGCAATATGGAGACACAGCGGGAGGCAAAGGCGGCACAAAAGCGAGCGGGAGCTCTCGGTCAGCACCCGGCTCGCCGCTGCCCGGGACTCTGCGGTACCTTAAGGTGCATCACCTGCACGCCCCGAAGGGGTTCTTACCCAGGCTGTGCCGTGGGGAATCGCAGCTCAAACACTGCCTTTGTTTTTTCTCAGCACATCAGACCACTGCAGTCTTGTGGAGCAAGGTCCAGACCACTCCGTCTTGTAAAATTTAGGACTTTGGCAGAGTTTTCTGCAGCCCAGTCATCCGAGCTAAGCCCTTTGATACCTCCTCTGGCTGTTGTGCAAAGTACACCTGAGTCCCTGAAGTATTAAGTGCACCCCATGTCTAAAGGGCCCCCGTGAGGTAGGAGGAGGCTTCTTGCAGAGACCAGAGATCAAATGAACCTCACCACCAACAGCAGCATTTGGGAAACCAAGACTGCCATTTAACTGAAATATTTATTGCAATGGTACTGCCACTTGAAATGTATTTACAACATTTTTAATACAGAAAAGATATACTTTTGCTGGTGAAATGGTGTTTTTATGGATGTAACGTATAGCTGTGGCGATGAACGCCGCCTTTGAAATGCTGGAGAGACTCGGACCTACTGGTTGTTCCTACAGTGACCAGACAGAACAGGGCTGCAATGCTGAGGTTGGACATTTCAGGTGCTAATGCGAAGAAAACATTACATTGTATTAAAAAAATATTGCCCAGAGAAATGTACCTTAAATATGAAGGTTTGGGTTTTTTTAAATTGATGTTAATTTTACATTAATACTCAACTTCAATTTATAATGATGCAAGTATTGCTACAGTTCCTCAGTTACCAAAGCTGGCTCTCCACCAAGAAGTCCTTTTTGCTGGTAGACTATCACTGATCTTTATTTCTAAAGCCTTTGTAATTAAATTCACCTAATTTCGCTTTCTGAGTGTGCAGGTCAGTGGCGTGGTGCAATTCAGGGGTGATTAAGGTGTCCCAGGACCAGGATTTATAATTCCAGTGCCAAAAAACACTGACAAATAAAAAAAACAAAGAGCCAGGACCAAAACCAGACCCAAAACATTTATGGTACCAGGACATTCAAGTATTCCCATTTAGTTGACAAGACCTGAAAAGCATTACAAGTGTTTGAGAATTTTGTTTGCTTGTTTTTCTGAAGTCAGTCATGAAATATCAATAGCTCTGGATAAACTCATCCCAGAATACATTCAGGTTAAATTAACAAAATGAGATGCCCTGAGCTTTGGCAAACAGCAATAATGCTGGTTGGAGAAGCAGGAAATCACTTTTTTTATATAAAAAGTCCATCTGTAAGCAATTGTGCTAATGCTTTAAAGGTGATCAGCTCAGGCTTTTGGAGTTAAACGGGAAAACAACCAAAATTCTTATCGGGAGAGAAATTTTTCAACCTGAAAACAGATTCTGTCAAAATGTCAAAGGTCCAGATCTAGGTTCTGCTAAGAGAGACTTTTACAAGACCCAATCTGAACAGAAATGTTGAGTTCAATTACCTTTTAACCCCAAGCAGAGGGCGGGAGACAAGCAATACAAACCCAAACACAACCCTGAAGGCAAATCAAAAAGAAACAGAAATTAAGAAGAGACAAATCTCATCCTGATCCGACTTTGTGGAACGCACAGAGCGAACGCACAATGCCTGGGAAGGTGTTTTCATTAAGGTGTTATTTGCACTAAAGTTTACCAAAAAATTGAGCCTGGAAAATGTGTTATCTGGACAATAAAGATAACTGAAGCGCAGAGCCATTTCTCCTCGCTTAACTGAGAGCAGAACCCTGTAAGCAGATGTGCGAAATACCTTGGCCTGCTAGCTGAAAAGCTGGGGAGTTTCTGCAGGTTTTGGTGAGAGGTCGTTAGAAAAACAAGCGAGGGAAAAAAAAGGAAGTTTGGTGAAAAAGTATTTCTTAATTAATTATAATTTCACTCAGTTGTTCTGATCTTCTCTTTTCCCTATTTACGCTCAACTTTGACATTAAAATTTCATTCAGTTTGCTCAGAATTACTTTAGCAATGTTAATTAGATTTTTGAGAACATACATATATATATTAAAAATTCAGAAGTACCCTGAACTGAAATAACACGTATCATTACAAAATATGAACTTTTTTTTTATTTGATAAGAGAGGGAATTTTTTGCTTTAAGTGAAAACTACTTTGTGATTTTCCAGAATTATCAGAAAACAAAGAAGTCTGCTGTTTCCTCAGCTCACACAGGTAACGCAGGCTCCTCTGGTTCACTATTTACCAACAAATTGCACCAAAGACGGAGGGATGAAGTTGCAGAACGGTTCTTTGCAAGTAATTATTCAACAAGACGAAAAATCAGTAATTAGGTCATGACTTTCAGAGAGGATTAATGAAAACGTTTTATATGTGTAAAATGAGTTTTAAATGCCAAAGTGTTACATAATTATTTATTAGAACACATTTGCTCATGCAAATAGCTTTGTACCTAAGATTCATGCAGAGAAATGTCTCTCATAGCGATATGTACCACGTTATAAAATGCATCATTTAATTAATCATAAAATCTTCGAGCAGTCAAAAATAATGGTAGCCAGCAGCTAAACTGCACACTAAATCTGCTCTGTAGCAAGATATTTCAGTAAATATTGATAAGGTGAGAAGAGAAAATTGGAGATAACGTTTCTGTATCTACAGATTTCCTTTGGTTCATCTCACTTGTCGGTAAAGTTTTCTGGTTATACTGTGATTTCTGTTGCACAGATTATTTAAATAGGTCAACATCTTTCTGCATGTATGGTCTATTCTGGGGCAGCTCTGTATTTGTTTTATTTTTATCTGCTTTTATGCAATTACTAATTAATTTAGGAATCTAAAGTAAACTTGGCCTTAAGATATATAGCCCCTTCAGCATAGCGAGCTGCTCCGTCTCCCGATGGCTCATCCCTTCCTTGAGCTTGTTCCAGGTGGCTCCTCTTTGCCGACACTGCCATCTAATGCCCGACCACGCTCTAAGCTCTCACTCGGAGGAAACGGGGTGCTGTGATTGCCTTTCTGCAAGATCTCCGGATCACAACGCTGTTGAGAGCCACCTCTCTCTGCACCCGAGAGCTTCCACCATTAACAAGAGCCAGCCAGTGGAGCAACGATGACTGATTTTGGGAGTGCTGCACCCACTGATGGGAAGTAACAACCTCTCCCTGCCTTGCAGAAGCCGAGAGACATTTGAGAAGTGTTAAACAACGGAAGAGATGAACTCCCGGAGGCTGCAGAGCCCAGCTCAGCCTGGAAGCTGACAGCAATGGTATTTTGCATGTAGGGAGCTAGGGAATAACCTTAATGGAAACAAAGGGGGAAAACTTCTAAAGAGGGAACGGTATTACTGAAATCCAGAGTTCCCCAGTTCCAAGCTTCGTCATCCTGCACAAGGATCAAGGTTGGTCCAGAGTGAAGTATGTTGCTTTGCTTTCATACAAAATATACAGAAGGAAGATAAAGCCGCTGTATCTGCCCTAAGTAGATCAGGCTCAGTTCAACTACAGCCAATAATAGAATTAAGAACAGATGATCTGTCAAGATACACCACCTTTACATTTAACTCTTTCAAGACAGAGATGGCATACTTACAGGTCTCTGGTCAGAACAGAAACCAACATCGCAGTCTCAGAAGTGTTAAACCAGAGCATTTCTTATTGTGTAATACCATGCTCAACCCAGCAGCCTTCTCTCTGGAATTATGCCCCAACAGCTGCTGATAGCTACTGATTTTTGCAGTATTCCCCCTATGACCCAATACTGGACTCAGTATCTACCACTAATGAACTCCAAACCAAATAAAACTGCATATCATATAACCAACCCTCATTACAGATAACAATGCATGTCAAAATGGGCACTCTTGTAATTAGCATGTAGTTACTCAATCTGCATAATTACACAGGGTAATCATGCTGCAGCATGTTTGGAAATGCTAGATCTCATTTTCCCCAGTAACCCTAAGTCATATGAATATCTTCTATAGGAACTACTACTTTAGATGCTATGAATTAATATTAAGATGAAATTGAATTAAATGTACTGATTTTAATGTCATGAATGCACTCATAACTATTTTTTCCCCTGAGAACCATCTGCAATTTAGAGACTTGCTAATCCTAATTAAATGCACTTTTCTTAAGTGTGTGCAAATGAACAGAGAAATCTGCTCAGTAACACACTTGCATATTTTCCTCTTTCACAAAGGGGAAGAAGAAACTGTGATTTAATATTAGATCTTCCTCATAAGAGAAAATGAGTGTTGCTTCTTCCTATTTTCAAGACATACAGTAGTCTGACTGTGTATCTTAACTGGTAATTCGTTAAAAGCATAGGATGAAGATCCCTCAAACTGGCTCATAATGCGGATCTGAACAGTTAGTGTGACTGTGGAGAAACGCTGCATTTTAGTTATGCCTTCCAGCATTTTAGGTAGTACTTTAACTCCTCCGATACCCTGATCGGTGGCAAACAGAACCCGGCACTCTGCAGGTTATTATGCAAACCAGTCAGCACCACGCTGTATTGGCACAAGGGGGGCAGAAACCACAGCAGATTCCTCATCATTTTATTATCAGAAAGAATGCATACAATAACTCAGAATGCATACAATAACTCCATTTCCTTTCTTGAAGGAAAAGGAGGGAAAGGAACAACCAAAAGTGTTTCTCCATTATTGTAAGAGTTCTCCTCTTAAGGCTCACAGACAGATTTTCTGGGAAGTCACTCTGTATTTTCATATAAGCAGCTGAACACGGCATGAATTTGGTTCTGGGTATTGGCAAGTTCTCCTTCTCCCCTTCCCCCAGCAGTGCAAGTATTACAAAAGGTCAAGTGAATGTGAAATTCTAGGCAACTCATCTTTAAGCTTTCAAAGCAAGACACAGAAACCAGTTTTGCAAAACACCAAGTCTATATTTACATCCACATGTAATAATATACTCAACTAAAGTGAAATACATCATAAATTAAATGAGTAATGTGTGCCTACTGCTTGACGACTTCCTGTTTCAACAATTAAAATTAAAAATGGAATGAAATAAATACAAAAACAAAAAAAATCAACAATTTGTACCTCTATATATGCACTGTTATTTCCAAAGAAACATACAAAACCAGTAGTATCCCAATAGTTAATACTGATGGGCAAAGTGTATTCTGAAGTACAGGGCTGTGCTGCCACGAAATAGAGTCTTCATGTCCATTTTTCCACTCCAACCCCAAGATACCTACCAAAAAAGCCTTGAGGGAAACTGTACCAGCATGAAGGGAGATTAAAAACAAACAAGTCTTAGGTCTGTTTGCCAAAACATCTTAAAAACCAGCCCTGTACATTTTGATCACAGAACCCCATAAGGTACACAGATGATAGTTACAGCATGCATTCTATAAGACTCATTGAAAGATCACGCAAAAAAATAGATTAACCATTTTCCAAGTGAATTCATCTTCAAAAAATAGGCTATAAAAGTGCAAAACTAGGAAAACAAAATTCTAGATTATGTACATATGGCTCAGCTTATGAACAGGAAAAAAGGTAAATAGTGTACAATTTCCTGATACACAGCACTTCATTACATCGCCAGTTTACAGAGACATTAAAAATAGGTCCCATATACAGGAACTAAGACATACAACTGGAACATCTCAAGTTGCATAATGAAAAAACAAGAGTTTCTAGGTTTTGCTATTTTACATTTGCTGTATGAGGGAAGAGAGCAAAATGAACAGTGCAAAATTTTTCCTTTTTTGTTTTACTAAAATATATGGAAGTCAAAGCCAGGTACAGGAGAAATTAACTCTTAACTACAGGCTTTATGAGAAGCAACTAGGAACGCAAGTCAAAATATGCAACAATTCTGCTTTACTGGCTGGTAACTGGCCATCCTCCCTTTACAAAAATTAAACTGCATGTGCATTAGAAAAAACTCTTGTTGTCTTCACAAAAAAATAAAAGGAGATATTCTCCCATTAACAGGTTATTTCTCACTTATTTTAAACACCCAGTAGATGCTAAAACTCGACATCAAGAAGCTTCCAAGCACAGTCAAGTAGGCTACACCATAGCCACATCCCTTTTGAAGTCTGTAGATCCCATATTCATATTGCAAGTCTGTCTGTGACTTTACAGTTTGGACAAAGGTGCAAAGTAGTTTTCCTCTAAGTGTAACTGTATTGAGTTTAGTACAGAACTAAACATTTGAAACGATTAGTATCATTTCTCATGCAAGTCCTAGGTATTTTCTGCTGTAAAAGTTTGTATGTTGGTAGAGATGTTTAAGAGGCTTCTCTGAAGAATAGCAACAAATGCCAAGAGAAGAATCCAACTGTATTTCAGGAATGACATACTGAAATACAAATGTCAAGTATTGCCTCGTCCTTGCATTTAAAAATATGCTGGAAACAACCCCAGGGAAACAGATCCAGATCCCTCCAACACATTATGGTCCTAACATACACAAGGCAGATCAGCATAATGTCAGCACCGTTGCTTTGATGTTCACAACATTTATAAACTAGACAGTTTCAGACAGTTTATTTGGAAGTTGTTTTAAAAAAACTAACATAGTTCAACAGAAAAAACAGATGAGAAACCTTCACCTTTATGAAAAACGAGCATTAAGCCAACAGGATATCAACTTCAGTATCTACAGTTTACCTGAGGTGCAATGATTATATATTCTTTCAAAGAGAAACTCTTCAGCAGCACTCAAGTATGTAAAAATATAATTCCTACCTAATATTTGGTCAATTAACTCTAATGAAAAATACTCAAAAGTCAATGTCAAGATATACATTCTCCACACACCTTCATAACCCAATTGTTTAGACTACTTTTTATGGCTATTTGGTACAAAATGTTAACAGAACCAGTATTATAAAACTGTAGTGTTTTTAGATACAGTACAATCACAGCTTAATTCAGTAGCTTTCACCATTCATTTTTCCTCAAGGGATGAACTGCAGGTATAACTCCATGGAACATGCACTTGTGTCCTTAGACCTAGGGGGAAAAAGAAAAAAAAGTTTTGTGATATACAACTATAAAATAGTACACCACCTTTTTTTGTTGTGAGGAATGTCCTTAAAACATAAAGGGAATTTCTTCTGCACCCTTGCATGTCTATTTAGAAGTTGATATTGCCATATAAGGTCTGCATCTTCTATTTGCCAAATAAAAGCTGGCAATCGAGTCTACTTTTGAAGAATACTTAAGGCCCAAGTAGAAATGCAGGCAGGAAATTGAGTTAGCTTTAAAAAGCACAACTAGGCAAAAATATGCTTAGTAGGGGGACAATAAAAGATTAGAAGAATATCAAGAAATAAAGCAAAGTATTTTAAAAGCTGTCAACTAGATGTCAGATAGCTCTGCTCCCCAGATATGTAAAAATCTTTCCATAAAATAGAGCATGCTGGTCCAGGTGCTATAGCTATATTCAAGACATATCTCCTTAAATTTGAATGAGGAAAATTATCTGTAGCTCTGGGTTTGATAAAAACATACAGATGTATTTATTTATAGTCTTATAGAGTACTTATCTCCTTAGCAGCTAAGAATGTTGCAAACACAATGGGGTTGTTAAGTTCTGAGATACAGCTACAGAACCGAAGAGATGAAGCATGGGAATTCAGAACACCAGGCTAATTCTTTTCACTGGACCTGTTTCCCTAAGAGGCTACACCCACCCCTCAGTCAAACAAAGGAAAAACTATTTGGAGCAACCTCTCCGGTACACAAAGATAAACTGTCAAGGAGCTACCAGGAAACCCTTACTTCCCTATGAAATAATCCACCAAAGAGTCTTGTTGTTTGAAGCAATCCTCACAATCTTCAGAAGTTGTAAAATGAGTAATGTCTACGTTTTCAGGAAGGACTAACCAACTTAACCTCTCACAGGATTCATGAACTGCGATAACAGGCACTTCCTCTCATTTCTAGTTCTCCACACGATGTTCCCCCATCCCCACGTACTGACTTAAGAGGAAAGCCCTTTTGTCAAACACTTCCCACTGGTGGTGTAGCTAATCAATACATTTAACTATCATTGGCTCTTCCTTTTTTTTTTTTTTTTTTTTTTTGTTAAGAAAAGGGGCATCTGTTTTCTTTTTGCAAGCCACTACCACTATCCAAAATAACTAAAGCTGCTACACCAGTATTTGGTTGACTTTGTTAAGAGGGCAAGTTCATATTTTCAGCTGTTCTGGTTGAGACTCTCATAACCTCTGATCATGCTATGCTGCAACCTTTGATGTTATGAGTACATAATGCAACATTTAAGTAACAATTAGCTCAAAAGGTTTGTTTACCGTTTCTTGAAGTAAATGATCAAGTCTTCTTGTCACTTGGCCGAAAGTGTGCATTACCAATGAAACTTTCATAACTTCGCTTTTGCAGCACACTGCTAGATAAGTGTTGGTATGACACTGATCTCTTTCCTGGCAAAAATAAAGTTAGAGGAGTTAGAATTATTTCCTGCTAATCTAATTGGTCAGACTGTGAGCAGGTCTACATTAGCATCCAGAATCCCAGAGACACTACCACAAATCATCTCACGGGCAGGGCCCCAAGACAAGATATCCCTAGTTCTGTTAAAAGATTATATGAAATTCAGTATCCAGAACAAATACAAGAGGAATGACAAACATTAATTTAAACACTTTAACTTAAGCTGTACACATGTGATGTCCCTCTCTCCAGATTTTGCTCATTTCATTTGCAAGAAATAAATATCTTTGCTTAACTCATCACACAGCAGGCTTCACTGTAAGAAAGTTTAAGTGCTGCAGTATATTCTATAGCATGATGCCTGCATATCCAGTTTCTGTATGTTTGAAAATTTAATTTTTGAATATGAGTATTTGGGAGGAAAAACAGGTATACTACATTATTGCCATGATACATTATATGGCAATTGTGACACTTTAAAGAGTGTTAATATACATTTACTTGAAGACCTTTGTTAAGCAATTTTCAGTCTAGTATACAAGTAATTTCATGTTTATCTGAGACCATTAATTCAGATTTATATATGAGAAATCAATGCCTGTTCCATATTAAGTCTTATTAGCTTAAGCAAGCAGTCAAAAACACTTCATAAAATTAAGGAAAAAAAGTCAAGAATCATTACTCCCACAGGATACAAAAAGCCCAACTGCCATGCATATACCAAGAAAGCTTTAAATGCAGCATTGAAAAAACCTAGCAAGCTTTAATTAAATTAAAATGGCAAAGCTAAATTAATATTTCAACAGAATCTACGAAGCCATTCGAGTGTGTCATGAGCAATTGTCTTTAATTTGCAGCCTCTGCCAGATCAATCAGCCAACAGGTTATCCTTGATAGCATGTTGCCATTGCAAAGGCAACTAATTTGAAAATAACACAAACTGAGTGGTTTCAGAACGTTTCTGTCTCTTCGGGGCAAGGCAGAATGGCAGAGCTTACAAGCAATAACGGAAGGCATCACGCTTTAATCAAGTTTGCCAAGTGGAACATATTCTCATGACAACTTGATCCGGCATTTAACATGCAACATAACGTGTTCATAAGACCTAAATAATGTTGCCACAAGGCACACAGGCCCTTAAAAAAGGTTTTGACATCACGTTTTATAACATCACCAGAGTTCAATAAAAAGACTACAGAAACCTGCAGGTCTACACCTGCAGTACTTGGCATATGATATCTTACAAAATACATCTCTGAGGAGTTGCAACTCCTTGACAAACAGTTGTGCTTCAGCTTTTTAACAAAAAAAGGTTTTGCAGAAACTTTGGTCTTCACTGTCTCCACCCATGTTAAAACTCTAATGCCAAGAGGTTTGCCTGTCTGCTCCCTTCTACCCTCTCAAATAACTATCAAGGTTTGGGTTGGGTGCTTCTGAGCAGAACGGTTGGAAAACTCGGAAATTAGCCTTAAAGGCCCACATTTTATTGCACAGGGCTTTTATTGAAGTTGCTAAGAAAACCCACAGAGGGGGTCTTGTTTCACAAGTCTTTCCAATGTAGGTAACAGCCGTAAAAAGTTGCTTTTCTTGCCCTGAGACAGCACTGTGTAATGAACAATGAAATCTTTATTTCCATGACAACAATACCATCAAATTAGTTGCAGCCATAGTTTTGAGAGCTCTAAATAACAAGAAACAGTAGAAAGTTCTTGACTACAGGCTACTTTCTCCAGGCTTGTACTGAAAAAGAGGAAGAAAAGCCTACCACAGATTTTTCTGGCAGACAGGTGGAGCTTTCAAAAGAAGAACAAGGTGGATTCCAATGAAGTAACTGTTTAAAAATAGTACTGCATCAATTGCTATTTCAATAGGCTAAACTCAGTAAGACTACTGGCAAAATAAGAGAATTTCCCTAACCCCAACATAATGCTGGAAAGGAGCAAGACACTGCCCACCACCTCGTCCCCGAGGTACAGACTTGTCTAGCTGGTTGAAGGTACAAGACTTTTTAACTTTCTGCTTCCTGTTTTCATGAAAATTAATACGATTTTATACAACATCAAGAGCATTCCCTCAAAATCCTGAATGTTCTATCTGCTCAATGTCATGAAGCACAAGTCCTTGCTCCGTGCAAGTTAATGTAGTTTAGTCCCTAAGGACAGTCGTGTCCTCCACCAAATGTTGAGATCGCACATTAAGCTCTTAGCTGCTATCAACCATTAATTTTAAAAATAAAAGTCTTGCAAAGCACTGTAAATTCCACAACTGCACTGTGTGCCAAAAAAAAAAAAACACTGTATGTGTTCTCTCAGATCACTAGGACTCAAAAGACAGCAAAGCAACAACATGTGTCATTCTGCCCATCCCTCTGCATTCTGTGCATAACCTAGTGCCCGTTTTACATTCCTCACAGCAATTCATGGCACAGTACACTGTACAGACAACACTCCTCATGAAACTAGGAATTAACTCCGTTTCACAACCACTTCAGTGAGTCAACTGTGATGCTGGTTTTTCCTTTATCCACTCCCTCCCCAGACTGGAAAGAGAACTGTAACACTTCCCTTCATCCTTCCATAACCCAGTAGCAATCCTGAATATTTATAAAGCCCACAACCTCAAAACAAGCAAACCAAAACCAGAAGATAGTTAGTGAATACATTTTTTGTCACATAACTAAATGCAGATTTAGTATTTTGCAGTTTGCTCTGACCTAAGGTAACACACCGCTGCTTGTTGTGAACCCAGACTACTTCAGAAGAATAATCTTACTACTTCCAGAAAATGGGAGTATTCAGAGTTCAGAAATTTAGAGGCTTTAAGACTACACAGCACACACACACACACTAGTCATTTTTATACTCTTCGTTTCAAAACTCAAAGTCCTATATTTATAGCTAAGTCCATAGTGACCTCAGCTTAAAGTTATAAATACCATCTTCTACAAATAGTCAGATAACTGCTTAAATATCACCTAGCGCCTTTTAATCTTGGCCTCCTGCTAAGTTTTGAAAGTGGTGGCTAAGAATAAAATACGAAAAGCATGTATTTCATAGAAGTAACAGATTTTTCCAAATACATCACAAACCATTTATCTCTGCTAGGCCCAGAATTCTCCACAAAACGTTACTACTTAGTGCAGTGAGACACCATAATTAGAATAGCAGAAATATGTTGTCTTGATTTAACAACATACTCTGCTCCTAAAAACTAAACATTATAAAAACCCACTGAAGAACAGAGGTATAAAATTTAAATCCTAGTTTTATGTTTGCAATACATCCTTTTCTGCAACTGAAGGGAACAATTGTACATGACAGCTTTTTTTTGTGAAAGGTTTTATTAATATTCCAGATGGTCCAAGACTTCTTGTCTATTAAGCAGAAAGGCTCATTCCATATCCTGGATTAGTTAGCATGTCTGGAGTGCCCTGATGAGCAAAAAATACATGTTTGCTCTCAGAGACCCATGACTGGGGGGAGGTGGGAACTTGAGGAACTTTAAATCCCTCTTTAAAATTCAGACCTTCCACGCCTAATTCCCCAATCCAGAAGTTTACTGAACCTGGATTTTAAATTTAAAATCCAAGCATTGATGGACTTGGTGAAGTGCCAAGTACAGCTTTATTTTCACTGTTTCAAGGTGGGTACACACTTACACCTATTTCATTCACCTTCCTTCGTAATGGTGTAAGACATTTAACTAGGAAGGAGATACAGTACCTTCTGCTGTAGAGCTGGTTACTTGGCCATTGCTAGATCCACAAGAGCTGTAAAGTGATCCAGAGCTATATGGCTCATAAGGTTTGAGAACAGTCAATACATTAGGAGGATCAACATCATCTGAATTCAGAAGCCCTTGTTTGGTTGGCAAAACAGAGGATGCAGGTTTGGTGCGAGAACATTCCTGAGGTAGCAGATTTGCATATCTGTTTGCAACACGAAATCTGCTCATTTCGTATCTTCTGTAATTAGCCACTGGAGAGTCAATATGTTCAATAGCTAACAGATTAGGTTTCATTCGTTTAGAAGACGTTTCACCATAGTCTAGATTTACATTGCTCACAGATTTGCTACAAAGATAGTCTCTTCCTCGATGACAAGACCAGGCAGATTCATTTAGGTGAGAGTCGAGAGCCCCATTCGTACTGCTGCTTACTAGACCAGACTGAGGCACTGGGACACTCAGAGCTTTTACTTTAGATTCAGATCTTTTTACTCTGTCCAGTACTGGAGAGATGCTGGAACTGGAGTGCATTTCTTGCTGAGGTTGTCTATAGTTATTTGCCTGAGCTCCAACATTACTTTGCTGTTTATGAAACTTGAGGTTACTTGGGGCTGCGCTGCTCGAGTCAGCCACCGAAAAGAGAGCGACTTTGTTCTGTGGAGTGTGACATTGCTTAGCTTTCCCCGTTTGCAACAGTTTTTGCTGTGTAGATGGGGAAGCCTTACTTTTATTAGAATTAAAAGACAGAGGAAGCACATCTTTACCAAGCAGAGCTGGAGGGCATCCAGTGCGTCTGGCTTTAACTAGAGCCTTGCTTCTATAGCCATTTTTGTTCACGGTGTCAGGGTTGTATTTGTGCATCAGCCTCTGGTGCATCATTAGGACCTCTGGGTAAAATGTTCTGTAAGTACAAAACGGACAGGTGATGGGTGCTAGCAGGCCTCTAGTTGAAACCACTGAACATTCTTGTGAAGTCCCAATAGATAAGTTCAAGGGCTTTTCTTGAGAGTCCACCACAGGTTTGTGTTTGTAGTTTTCAGTGCACTCTCGCACATCATTCACATTTTTTCCATTCTTTAAAGCACAAATATACTGGACATCATCTCCCTCTGATGCCACAGAAGCCTCTCTCTCTCTCTTATGAGGAACACTGGGCTGAGCTTCCTTTGTTTCCTTCTCAGCCTTTAGTTTTTCCGGGTAAGGAGTGGACACATTCTCGTGTATTTTATTTGAATTGTTACAAATGGAACCTTTGTTTAATTCCCTAGAATTATTTTTCACTTTTAAAAGGACTGTGCTGCCTACTGCATTGTTCAAGGACAGAATTTCCTTTTGCTGCTTGGTAGGTGGGCAGCCCTCAGCATCTTTGGCACAATCAAAAAGCCTCTTCGAATTTTTGGTTTCTTGAGCACCGTCAGCAGCCAGCAAGAGCTCCGTGTCCTGACTCTGTAATGAAACTTTGCTGTCACTTTTCACGTCTGCTGCACTATCAGCTTGCTTGTCCTTGTGATGCCTCTCTAAATGATACCTCAGTGACGTTTTCTGTGCTGCTGCATACTCACAGAATTCACATTTGTACGGTTTTTCACCTGAAACACAGTTTTATCAGTAAGTTTGATACAATTTGATTTGAAATCTTGAATACAATTAAAGACAAGGGAATAACTGTAGTAGACTGCAAAACAGTTAAAAATATTTTTCTTTCCCTTTCCACATACTCATAATTCTCAAATGCATCTAAACCATTTAAAACAACTAAAACAACTAAAACAACTCCTTACTGCTTTTACTAACTACAGTGACATCTTCTGGCTATGATGAAGATATTTTCCACATGTTGGCTATGGAGATGGTAGCTGACAATATGTTTGACGGAGATAAGCAAGAAGTATAGCTGTGGGTCAACTCCAACAACTTGTAGCCCTTGATCATACCACAAGTATGCTATTGAACAACACGAATGTTACAGTTCATCTATAAATAGAGCTGTTTCAAAAGAAACAGGGACATACATAAACAGAAAGAGTTCGCCTGGCTATGGAAAACAAAAAGTTGAGCTGAAAAATAGACACAGCTTTTTCCCAGGTACCAGCAACTGGCAGATGATCAACTTAGTACTTTGGAAATAGGCTATTTTTAATTTAAAAAAAAAAAAAATCACCAACTTTTTGCTAGACTGCTAAAAGCAGAAAGAATTAAAGTTTTAAAATGTATTCTTAACAATACTTAATATAATTAGCCCTATTCAAAAAGACTTGCACTTACGTAAATCATTAATTCCTTCTAAGAAACGTCATTTTTGATTTTTTTTTTTTTTTGCATTAGAGAACACTTTGCTCTTAATATCAATAATTTCAAATGCAACTTCTGTTTTTCTTAAGCAAAACCAACACTTCATCCAACTGGATTCAGCAGACTTCCTACCCCTCCCGCAAAGGTGAAGCCCATTTACCTGTATGAGTTCTGAGATGAATATTGAGGTAATAATTTGAGCGAAAATACTTTCCACAATAGCTGCATTCTCTGGAGGCTCCAAGGTTTTTAACTTTTGCTCTTTCCAAACCATCTTCATTTTTATCTTTGGGAGAAAATATAGCTATATTATGAAGAGCAAATGAAAATTTGGAGTCTCGCTTAAAACTGTAAGTAACTATCTTAACTGTTTAATTAAGGGAAAACACAGAATGATGAACTGTTGTCAATTCCTACAGTCTATGAGCATCTTTTGTTCTGTACTGCTGCACAGCTAGCAAAGAGCAAGAGAGTTAAAAAGGTTTCTGTCTGTGTCAAGTAACACTGTGGTTAGTGACGGTAATGAAGCCGCCCCAGAGAACAAACAAGATGCAAAACTAGGTCTCAAAGAGGAAAGAAAATTATTTTTACTGACCTACAAGAACTTGATGGAGAATGGCCCATCTCAAAAATTCATACAGTTCATAAACTGTATTCTTTTATTAAAGAGAGTGCTTGAAGGGAGTACTAAGTGTGAACGTGATAATCCAAACTGTAAGCCTGCTCTGTGCACCATGGCAAAACACAGGAAGATGTTTTGGGGAAGGAAGACAAAGAGAAAGATGGATTTTCTTATTAACTGCAATAATTCTATTATTATTTCTGTGCTAATCAATGGAGCGTCATGCCTGTATAACAACATCCTTACATTTAATAAATAATCTTTCACTTTTATTTTTCAAATAAAAATATTTGCCATATTTTGACAAATACGGGAGTAGGAGAGTGACAGGGGTTGCTGTTCTGTGAAACATGTTTTCAAGCAACAAATTCACAGATTAAAAACTGGTTGCACTCAAGTGTAAGCAGCGGTAGTTACCACTGGAGGGAGACAAGTACAGCATAATGTCTAACAAGAAAGGGGCGAAAGCTTACGCACAATACACCGCTCGGATCAACACGATTTCTTTTGGCAGGTTAAATTGAAAAAACATCAAGACAACTTCAGTGAACTATCCAAGTCAAAACTAACTAGAAAGCTAATGTGGGAAGAGAAGGAAGGAGAGGTTTTGCTTGACTGAGATGTTAGATACACAACAGCTCAAAACGGCTCTCTGAAGTTCCGACGTGTTGGAAAGCTGCTCTGCTGGAAATGCTAAGTACGGCTGAACTCCAGCTAAGGCAAGCCATAGCTGCTTTAAACAAACGGATAATGTCTCAATAAGCATGACTCAGCATCTCACAACAAAAGCTGTTGTACTTGAGGATAAGACACTGAGAAACAAAACAAGCAAGTTAACATTAGGTAATAATTCCATTCCTTTGTTACTGGAGGCAAATAAAGGGCTGCACATTACCAGAAATGGAAAATTCAGCTGTGTGTGCCAGGACATTCTGTACGTTGTGTCTTTTCTTGAGATTATGCAAGTGTCTGCTCTTTAAATGCAGACTCAACGCATGTCACACACAAGAGTGCTAGATTAGCTAGCAGACTTTTTGCTATTCCTTTTTGTCCCCAGACATGCAATCCTTTTCAATTAAAGACTCATTCAGTATCACTTGTTTTTCTAAGACACGGTGAGATGCAGAATTAATCCTGGGTAACACACAGATTGAGCCCATCCACTCTGTCAAAGAGAACTGTTAGCAACCCTTCAAGAAAGAGAAGTTAAACATATACCTCTCTTACACACATGATGTCCACATGTTAATAGCCTGCATGCATGTCCTTACGCAACTGATTTAAAATTGCCAGTTTTGACATTTAGGCTTTCAAGTTACACACCATTAAAAAGAAACATACAACCTGCAGCTTGACAGAAAAAGTTTGGAACTATTCTTCTCAGGATCTTAACTGCTGGTATTGAGCACTGGACATTTTCTGCCCTTTCTTACAAGATGCAGGAAAAAAGTGAAACCGCAATGATATCTTCAGAAATACTATTTGTAAAAACATGTTCTGGACAAGAAGGGCTATGCAACACTCAAAAGCACCCAGTAAAACTACGATTCCTGCGGGGC